GTACTCAGCCCTTCTCAGTGCCTGCTCCCCCCCTCCCAGCTCCAGGCACACTCTTACTTCCTCTGGGAACCATGATCGATATTCTTTCTGCTCTCAAACTTCACAGCACCTTTCTGCCCTCACGTACAGCACCTTTCCCCTGTCCCCTTCTGCCCTGAAAAGTGCAAACCAGGAGGATTTCAGAAACATCTCCTGCACTACAACATTTTCTCCTTCAGTCCCTAGATGGAGTAAGACTGCCTCTGCAAGAGACATTGCCTTCTTCCCCATGTATCCTGCTAAAATAAACTCACAGTTCATCATTCCATAGTCAATAGCTGCCATCATCTCATCAGAGGCAACATCCCCTCCCACTTGCCATCAACAACCCATGGGCACAGCCACCTCTTGGTCCCCTTCATCCCAGCCAGGGCAGGGCAGTGGTGGGGCTGTGGGGACACCCAAGGGACAGCCCCATGCACAGAAAACCTGGCCCTTACCTTGTCCTCCAGCCTGCCGACAAGCTCAGCCAGCCTGTTGATCTGCCCCTCCAGCCCCTCTGCTTTGGCGTCGGGGGAACCTGCACGGAGTCAGGAGTCTGTGATGGAGCATGAAGCACCCATGGGTACCCCCCGAGAGCCCTGCTGCTCTCCAGGGCAGTCAAGTCACCTCTGTGCTGCTGCTGGGACCACAGCTCCCTTCCCCGAGGCAGTTCAGGCTGCCAGGAAGCATCCATCGCTTACCAGTCTGGAAGCTCTTCCCATGCTCCCTGGGGACGATCCAGCTGGTGGAGGAGTAGCTGGGCATGGGGCTGTCGTACCAGGTGTCCATCAGACCATGGCTGGCCTTGCTGGGGCAGTGTCTGCAACCAGAGAGCACACAGGTCATCAGAGAGGGCAGAGCTTGGCACGTACGGTGTGATGTGACCCCGGGGAGCCGACGTTGGAGTGTTCTTTTTTGGCACCTCTGTCACCAACACCACACCCCTTGGAGGGGATATCACCTGGTGTGCACTGGGAGCTGTGCCCAACTGGCAGCACCTCGCTGGCTTTGGTGGTTAACACACGGGAAAAGCTGCTGTCACCCGGGCATCACCGGGGCTGCCCATGCCCGAACTGCTGCCCCTGAGCAGGGGAAGCCTGCCTGCCCGGCCGTGCGTTCCACCAACAGGCTGCAGCCACTGTGCTCCTGCAGAACACACACACTCCTGAGTCACCAGTGACCATCCAGCCCCAGCTCCACAGTGGTGCTTCCAGCATCGCCCCTCATTCATGGATAAGCCAGAGAGAATGCTAAGAGCTGCCATCAGAGAATCACAGAATGGTTTGGGCTGGAAGTGACCTTAAAGCTCCCCTAGTTCCACCGTTCCCCAACCCACCATGGGCAGGGACACCTCCCACTAGCCCAGGTTGCTCAAAGCCCTGCCCAACGTGGCCGTGACCACATGCCCAGAAGGGTTTGCAGCTGCCATCCAACGGGAATGGGCTTTGGGAAGGATGACACTCTCTTCTCTCCCTCCTCCACTGCCGGGAAGTCTGAGTCACAGGAGGGGCTGAGCTGCTCAAAGCGTTTCCAGCATTTCCTTTCAGTGAGAGCAGCTTCGTGCCAGCTGATGGAGATGCCTGGGATCCCCACACCCCTCCAGCCAGCCATGCCTGGAGACAACACGCTGAATGCCATGGAGCCAATGAGTACAAGACCAGCCAGCATCATCCCTGCCCTCCTGTCCCTCCCCGCGCATCCAGTTTTGCCCTTTGGCAGCCGGGGACCCTCTCTGCCCTCCCTGGCTACTCCAGGCAATTTCAGCTGGCTCCTTTGGTACAGAGAAAGCAATGTCCAGGCGCCTGTTGTCCCCTAGAACCAGGCAGTGTGAACTTGATCGGACACACGGGAACACGATGAGAGGCTCTGGTCCTCAGCAACAGCCCCAAGACAAGAAAGAAAGAACAGCAATAAAGGTGGAAGGAAAATCCCCGTTGCTCCAGGCTGTGCAGTAATCCCCCTGCCAGGGCTGAATAATCCCCCCTCAATAGGCAGGAACTTAGGTGAGAACAGACATTTCTTTTTAATCACAATTTAATGAAGTGTCTCAGGCTTGGGTGCTTCGCTGTCACAGTTGGTTTTACAGCCCTTTGCTTTGGTGGTTTTTTAGGCCATTTCTTTGTCTTCATGCGGATGCAAGAGATCATTTTTTGGTTTTGGGGTTTATTTAGTAGGCTTTTTTCCTTTTTTTTTTGGCTGTTATCACTATAAGAAAACAACTCCAATACTTCTGATTATGAACCAGGCCCCCATGTTGGCAAATAAAAGCCAGCAAAGTCTTTCACGGGCTCTAATTGCTCTGTCTGCTGTTGGTCTTGTTTTCTCCTCATTGTTCCCCAGGAGCTCTTATTTTTTGCCATACGTTTTGTACAAGGTTTGCCACAGGCCAGTGGTTTCCTTCTGAAACAGGGAGAAGAAAGCGATGTGGTGTGATGAAACCCAGTATTCCTCCTAGGAAAGCTGATAAGATGCCACCAGAGCTGCCCAGGTCTCACCGTGTCCCAGGCAGCAACAGCTCCGGTGAGACCAGCCCACTGCTGCCTGTTTGAGATGCAACTGTTGCTGCTGTTAAAACTCAAAGTACCAAAACCTGGCTGTGGTGAAGCACTGGGGCACATCAGTCCCTGTGGTGTCACACTTCTGTGGTCCCCGTGCCTTGGTCCCCTCTGCCCACCCGCCGACAGGGAAGCCAAGACATCCCTCCTTGAGCATCCCGTGGTTTGCAGATACGGCAGGGGGGGAAATGGGCTTCATGAGCATCTGATGAACAGTTTCCATGGCAACGTGTCCTGGACACAGCCAGTGTCGGTGGTACTCAAGGAGCCGAGTGACACTGTGACACCAAGGCGGGGCTGTGCTGAGGTTTGGGCTGTGCTGCTGGGTTCCTCTTTCTATTTTAGCCCTGGCAGCACTTGAGAAATCTTGAGATTGTCTCCTCCAGGCTCTGCCAGGCTGCCGAGATGGGGATGGTCCCCTCCCGTGGGACCCTTAGGGCTGCTAAGGACAGGGAGGTGGAGGGGAGCCTGAATTGCTCTCAGGAAGCTGGGAAGGGAGGCAGCCACTCGCCCGGCTGCCCTGTGCTCCTACACACTGTCTGCTGCACCTTCTCTCGCCCCACAAAAGCATCCTCTGCCTCTCCCTCCAGCCCCCTGCCCCAAAATCAACCGGGAAGCAGAGAGGAGACCTGGAGGAGTTGGTTTGCTCGTCGATGGCATCCACAGCACTCTCCACGGAGCTCAGCAGCGACTGGGTCTGGTTGGCCGTCTCCTTCCG